ATTATTAATAGAATGTGTTAATGATGGTATTAATGGTGTTTCAGATATTTGACGAACAAACATTGTTGAACTTCTTCTTTCATTTTCTATTTGAATATTTTTCTCAAATGAATTTCCTCCTTTTTTTCCTCTTGAATCATCTACATATACTACATACATCTCACATAATTTCATTGCATCTTTTCTTTCTTCTTCTTTAATTCTTTTATATGCTTCTTTTTCTCCATTTAAATGTCGTAAATGTGCATCCCAAACATGACTATAACAGTTATACCTTGTCTTTGGTGGTTCAGTACATCCAGGAAAGACACACATCCAACACTTTCTTCGAGGCTTTGCTTGTGTTTCCATGTCAATTAGAATTGCCTGTTTTTTCCTACCGATGCCTATGAGATTTGTTTCATATTTTTTTCTTTTACCTTCTTCTCTTGGTTCTTTCTCTTTGGCTGTCACTTTTCTATTGATATTTTATTTTTTATTATTGTTTTGCTATCTTTTTTTCTATTTTTATAATACTTGTATAAATTATAATTTTATAATTTAATTTTTATGTTTTATGTTTTAATATTATTCTTTGGATTAGATTAAGTGCCTGTGAATTTTGGAAAATGACGTTTCGATGAACTATTTCATACTAGCATTTTTTGCGATAATCAGACTGAAGAACATAAAAAAACCTTTTAATAACACAATTTTTTTTATTGTGTTAAATCAAATTTATGTTTTTTAATGAATTCAAAACACAAAATTAAGATAATACAAAAAAACAAATTTATTTTTATTTAAAAAGAAATTGAAAAATAATTCACAATGGAAAAGAAAAGGGATCTGTGAATGATTGAACTTATTCAATAATGGCATTCACAACAACTGGTTTTGGTGGATTAAGCAATAACACATTCGGTAAAACAACTAATACAACAGGAGGGTTTGGTACTGGTTTTGGTTCAACAACTGGTTTTGGAAATACCAATAACACTGGTTTTGGTTCAACTACAGGTGGTTTTGGTAATGGTAATAATACAGGTTTTGGTAGTGGTTTTGGTTCAACAATAGGTGGATTTGGAAATAATAACAATACTAAGACGGCTGGTGGTTTTGGTTCAACACCAAGTGGTTTTGGTAATAACAATACATTTGGTAATACAGGGTTTGGTTCAACAACGACTGGATTTGGTAATACTACTAATACAGGATTTGGTTCAACGTCAGGTGCATTTGGAAATACTACTGGACTTGGTGGTTTTGGTTCAACATTAGGTAATGGGATTGGTAGTGGATTTGGAAATAATAATACAGGACTTGGCAGTGGATTTGGAAATAATAACATGGGTTTTGGTGGAGGATTTGGCATGACAAATACTGCAACAGGGATTGGAAATAATGGTGGATTAGGAAGTGGGTTAGGCACACCATTTGGTAATGGATTTGGAAATAATAGTAATGGAGGATTTAATTCAATAAATATGAATACGATGAATAACACAATTCAAACAGCAAACACATCACTTTTTGTAAATGTTGATTCAAGTATGATGGAATTTTTAAAGAATAAAATACAGTCAGATCGTTTAAAAAATGCATTATCATTAAAAGATATAAAGTATAATAATGATTTAGATAAAATGATTCAAGAAACACGGTTAAAAAGTTTTTCTTTAAAACAAGTAGAAGATAAAATAAGACCTAAAATAAATAAAGTATTTGATACAACAATTAATCAGATGCAAATATTAAGAGAAAAACAATTACTTGAAGAAAGTAGTAGACAAAATGAAAAAACTATTAAAGAAAAATTATTTAAAATCTGTTCTAGTTTTGAGGAAGAATTTAATGATCTTAGTGATCAAATTACTGAATTAAGTAATAAAGTAACACCTTTAGTAAATAATATTACTTTACAACAAGCAAAAATAGCTCTTGATGAAAATAGTAAACAAGCCTACCAAATAAAAGAAAATGTTGTATTTATACAAGAAAGTTTGGCTGAAACAGAACAAAAAATTGAATCTTCTTTGTCTCATTTATGGAATCCTAATTCTTTGAAGTAACATACATCTATTTTTGAATTAATTGAATGATATTCGTTCTTTTTTATTTCTTTTTCTGTTTTATTCTTTTTTTTGTTTAATATATATTAGTGTCTTTTTGGAAGAAAAATAAGAAGTTCATTCAAAAATGAAATATCTTATCCCAAAAGTTAAAAATGAACAACAAAAACACAATCTGAAAATAGGGTTATTTGAAAAGAAAAGTTAAAAAATAACTTAAATAAAAGAAAGAATCTCATTACATATGAATATTGAAAAAGGGAAAATCTATGTTGGAGGATTTACAAATGATTTTACTGAGCAAGATTTGAGAGAATTATTTAGTGAGTTTGGAACAATAGAGTCTATCTCTATTTTTCATAAAAGAATTACTTTTGCACATATAATTTTTACAGACAAACAAAGTTGTGCTAAAGCTATTGAAAAATATGAAATGAAAAAAGTTAAGGGAATAACTTTAAGAGTTGGAGAAATGAAAATCACACCAGAAAAAGAAAAGGTTCAAGATGAAAGGACTTTTGGTGATATTAAGATGAGTGTTATATTAGTAAGACCAATGCACGAAGATAATATTGGAGCTGTTGGAAGGTTATGTGCTAATTATGGAATTAATAAATTGTATATTGTCAATCCCTTGTGTGAAATTGGGGAAGAATCTATTAAAGTATCTCGACATGGAAATGGATATATAGAGAATGCTGTAATATGTAAATCCCTTGAAGAAGTAAGAAAAGACTGTACATTATTGGTTGGATATACTGCAAGGGAAAGTTCTGGACAAAAAAATAAAAGAATTTTAATGACAATGCAAGAAGCTGGAGATATGTTATCAACAATGAAAGGGTGTGTTGGTTTAGTTTTTGGAAATGAAAGTAATGGACTTAACACTGAAGAATGTGACGCATGTGATTTATTAAATAAAATTGATATTAGAAGTCATTATCCAGTATTAAATCTTAGTCATGCAGTTGGTATCGCATTAAATTATATGCACATGAGATTAAGAGATGGTGGAGACTTAGTTCCTGAGGGGTGCAAAGAAATTATTGCCAAAGAAAAAGGAGAGTTACTTGAAGAATGGAAAGAAATTTTACATTCTGTAATGAATGAACAAAGAGAAGTTGGTGCTGTTGAATCAATGAAAAAATTACTTGGAAGAGTTATGTTGACTGAACGGGAAGCAGCCGCCTTGGACGGTGCATTCAAGGCATTGTTACACCATTTTCATGAAAAAGAAATTCATTCTCAAGAAATAAATAATAAAAAAGAAGATGTTATAGAGCAATCACAAAATTAAATTGATTTTACTATATTTGTTAATTATATTTTTAGAACATAAAAAATTTATTACAATTACAAATAACAAAAAAGTAGAATTGAAGTAAAAAAAAGAAAAAAAAAGGGTTTGTTTAGAGAGTTGAAAAAATTAAAGTCCAGTTGAAGAGGAAGAATGAATGTAAAATTATTGTTACAATTTTATATTGCTTCTTTTGTCGCACATACACAAACATTACTATTAGCAATGAAACATCACCGACCATTTTATTTATTCACATCTTATATTGTATTTGTCTTATATTGTTGGTATTATTCATATTCACTGATTCTTATTCTTCTTCCATTGTTCATTTATTTAATTTCATTTATTATAGAAACTGATGATTATCCACATACCTATTATATGAAACAATCACCCTTTTCATCTAAGGTTCTTTCTGTAACACCACAACTTAGTTCTTCTTATCAATGTCCATTAAAACCACTTTCAGGACATTTATTAACAGTATATACATCTCAAACTGATACAACATTTTCATTTTCTTATAGTAGAACTATTGTACATTGTCAAGATGGAGGTATTTGTGGATTTGATGTTCTTGATAGCGATTTACCAGTAACAGCACCAATAATAGTTTTTGTTCCTGGTGCTGTCGGAGATAAGAAGAGTTTATATATTAAGAAAGCAGTAGAGCTTGCACGTAGAAATAATTTCCGTGCTATTGTTTTCATTAAAAGAGGTTTATCTGGAATTGAAGTAACAACAGGAAAGTTATACAATGCTATTTCATGTGAAGACATTTATGACGCACTTCCTATTATTCATAAACAATTTGAACAAGCACAAATTAATATCGTTGGATATTCTCTTGGTGGATCACAAGCAATTCGTTTAAGTTATAAATATTCATCTGATTTATTACAATTTAATGTAAATTCGATTTGTGCTGTTTGTCCTGTTTGGGGAATTTCTGCTGTAGAAACACCTGATTTATATGCTAAACCATTTATTGATGAGTTTAAAGAAATTCTTTTTAGTCATAAAGAAGTTTTTGAGAAAGCTACTGATAAAGATGGACATCCATTATATGATTTAAATGCAGTAAACAACGCAAAAACAATGAAAGAATTAGAGAAAACATTAATTGCCCCAATGTTTGGATACAAGAGTGTTGAAGCATATTATTGGGATGTAGAGCAATGGTTCCAAAATTTACCATGTACTCGTATTCCAACATATACAATTAATTCTTTTGATGATCCAGTATTAAATGACCAAGATTATTCTTATTTGAGAATTAAGGCTCTTTGTGGATTTAGCCCATTTGTTATTTCTTCTTATACCCAAAGAGGAGGTCATTGTATTTATAGTGAATCACTGGAAGTTAATACAATGAGTTATGCTGATAGAAATGTTCTTGAGTTTATTAAAACTGTTTCTGGTTTAAATCAATCAGGAGAACTTGCTGTAATGAGAAAGGAGGTAGAAGAAAAATTTAAATGGTTCAATGAATAATTTACTCTTTTTACATTGAAATGAATAGTTTGGAATGATTTTTGAAAGGATTTAATCACATTCAATTATTAAAAGGAAGTTATTTTTTAATAATTCATTTATTTTTAAGAAGGAAAGAATAATAAACCTAAAGTAATTAAGACAAATAGTAGTATTTATTTATTCATCATAAAGGGATTTTTTAGATTTTGCTTTGGAACAGCTGTATTATTTAATTTAGTTCTTCCAACAACATATTTTGGCATTGGGGCATTTGCAATTTCAAGTATTTGTAATTTCCAATTCCAACCTTCTCTTGGTCTTTTTAATTCATTGTACATAAAGTTATTTCTAATTGGAAGAATAGTAGGATATGCAGAAACACCATCTCGTTTACAATAACTTTTGTGTTTGTCACAGTCAATTTGGAATATTTTAATATTATTAAGCATTGCAAGTTCAGAGATTGTCTCATTCATTTCTTTATCAATTAATTGACAAAAGTGACACTTTTCTGACATATATTCAATAACAACAAGTTTTGATGAATTTCTATATTGGTCTATCTCTTCAGGGGTGGAGCGGGATTGTACTAAAACACAAATTAAACAAATGAATAAGACTTTCATTTTTATTATTTTTAGTTCCTTTTTTTTTATTTTTTTTTTGAACTTCTTTTCCATGAAAAGAAAAAAAACTAAAATATTTATTAGAAATATAGAAATTCTTAATTTAAAAAAAATGTTTTTCCAAAAAATATGAATTAAAAATATAATACAATTTAACTATTAAAAAAGTAATTTTTTTTATTACATATTATTGATATAACAAACTATAAGATAAGAATAATGTAATTTAAATAAAAAATGAAATAAGTTATTAGGAAGAGTAATAAATTTACTTAATAAATTATCTGTTAATTCTTTATTCTTAACTTAAACTAAAAAAAAGATTTCTTTCATTTTTTTTTTCTAATGATTTATATAAATAATAAAACAATATTTTTATTTAATTTATTTATAACAATATCACATTGTCTTAAATTATTTTTTCTTAAACTTTAAAAGAAGTAATAATACTCTTTGTTTTAATTAATAAGATGTTAATTGTTTATTTCTTTTCTTATTTTCTTATTTTGTATTTTGTTTTTTCTTTATTATATTATTATTTTGTTTAATGTATTTGTTGTAATACTAAAACATATGTTAAATTACAATTTATTAATTTATTTAATTCATTGATTATGAATTATTTATTTTTATTGAAAATTGAACCAAAGAAATATAGTGCAATAAATGAAAGGTTAATATCAACAATAAAATATAAACTCAATCAATACATTGGATTTTTTAAGTTAGACATAATGAGAAGAGGAATAGTGGTAATAGTAAAATTATAATGTAAAAAAGAAATAAGAAGTAAAGAAATAAAAAGGAGGAATTATCTTAAAAAAAAAAAAAGAAAAGAAACAAAAAAGAACTTAAAAAAAGAAAACCCCTGATTAAAAAAATGAAAAGAGTAATAATTAATCCAAAAGGAAATGATAAGGTGATTGGATATGACAAACGATTGGATGAGATTAAAAAAGTTCCACAAAGAGAATATGATCCAGAAAAAGATGATATTGAATTTCTACAATTTGATATTGATTATATTAATCGTATTGTTGAAAAAGAATATCGAATAGAAGAAGACCCATTGAGTGAAGGATATAATGAACCAGTATTATATTTATATGGAACTACAAATGAAGGGGATAGTGTTTTAGCTATGGTACATGGATATAAACCATATTTTTATATTTCTGTAGAAAAAGAATATACACAACAAGAACTTGATGAACTTAAAATGAAATGTAATCAACAACTTCATTCTGAAGTAAAAGCAACAGGGGATTTTGAACAATACATTTTAAATATGGAAAATATTAAAAATCATCACTCTCTTATGAATTATAATTTCGAAAAAGAAGTTTTCTTTATTAAAATAACTTTAAGACTTCCAAAATATGTTCCATTGTTAAGACATATTCTTCAAGAAACTCAACGTGTTAATAATCGACATTATCAGACATATGAAGCAGACTTATTGTTTGTTTTAAGATTTATGGTAGATTCTGGTTTAGTTGGATGTAGTTGGGTAAAAGTTCCAGCAAAAAGATATGTTTTAGTAAAAGATGAAGCAAATAAAATTTCAAGGTGTCAACATGAAATTCATTTAGATGTAAAAGATTTATTAAATTTAGGATGTGATAATGAATATACTAAAACTGCTCCATTAAGAATTCTTTCTTTTGATATTGAATGTGCAGGAAGAAAAGGTTCATTCCCAGTTCCTGAACTTGATCCAGTTATTCAAATTGCTAATTATGTCGTTGAATTTGGTAGACCAGATGTTGTTACAAAGAATGTATTTGTATTAAAAGGTTGTTCACCAATTCCTGGAGCTATTATATATGACTATGACACAGAAGAAGAATTATTAAAAGGGTGGTCAGATTTTATTAATGCAATAGATGTTGATATATTTACTGGGTATAATATTATGAACTTTGATTTTAAATATCTATTAGAACGAGCAAAGGTATTAAAAGTTAAGGACTTCTCATCATTCTCAAAATTAAAAAGTTCTCATGTGAGTATTAGACAATCTACATTCCAGTCAAAGGCAGTAGGTGTTAGAGAATCAAATGAATTAATAAATCTAGAAGGAAGAATTCCATTTGATATGTTCCAAGTTATTCAACATGATTATAAATTAAGGTCTTATACATTAAACTTTGTGTCAAGTAATTTCCTTGGTGATCAAAAAGAAGAAGTACATTATGCTGATATCACTACATTACATGAAGGAAGTATGGATGATCGTAATAGAATTGCTGTTTATTGTTTAAAAGATACGTATTTACCAATTAAATTATTAGAGAAATTAATGTCATTAGTAAATGGATTTGAAATGTGTAGAGTCACTGGTATTCCATTGTCATACCTTCTTCCTCGAGGACAACAAGTTAAAGTTATAACTCAATTGTATCGTCATGCTAATGCAAAGAACTTATTTATTCCATTCTTCCAAAGAACTAAAACAAATGGAGATAAATATGTTGGAGCTACTGTTATTAATCCAATTAAAGGATTTTATAAAGTACCAATTTCAACACTAGATTTCTCTTCACTATATCCTTCTATTATGATTTCTCATAATTTGTGTTATTCTACTTTAATTGATGGAATTAAAACTCGAAAGGATATTCCATCAATAGAGTTTCTGAAAACATCTGAGAGTGAAGAGGATAGAAAGTTGTATGACCAAATTATGAAAAAATTAAAAGACAAACAACTTAATGTAGAAGATGTAGAATTATCACCAAATGGTGATCTTTTTGTTAAGTCAAGTAAGAGAAAAGGAATTTTACCAGAAATTCTCGAAAATTTACTTGCAGCAAGAAAACAAGCTAAAAAAGATATGGCAGCTGCCACAGATCCTTTTAAAATTACTGTGTTAAATGGAAGACAATTAGCACTTAAAGTTAGTGCAAATTCAGTGTATGGATTTACTGGTGCACAAATTGGAAAACTCCCTTGTATGCAAATTGCATCAAGTGTAACTTCCTACGGTAGAACAATGATTGAATTAACAAAAACTACTGTAGAGGAAAAATACAGTAAGAAAAATGGATTTCCATGGGATGCACAAGTTGTTTATGGTGATACAGATTCAGTTATGGTAAAATTTGGAACATCTGATTTAGCTGAAGCAATTCGATTAGGAAAAGAAGCTGCTGTATTTGTAACAACAAAATTTCCACGACCAATCAATCTTGAATTTGAAAAAGTGTTTTTCCCGTATTTATTAATTAGTAAAAAGAGATATGCAGGATTATATTTCAATCGAGCAGATAAATGGGATCATGTAGATACTAAGGGAATTGAAACTGTAAGAAGAGATAATTGTTTATTAGTGAAATATGTCATCGAAAATGTATTAAATAAAATTCTATTAGACTCAGACGTTGAAGGAGCAATTAGTTTTGTAAAAAATATGATTTCTGATTTACTACAAAATAAGTTAGATTTATCTATGTTAATTATATCAAAAACATTAAGTAAAGAAGATTATGCGGGGAAACAAGCTCATGTAGAATTAGTTAAAAGAATTAGAGAAAGAGATAAAACAACTACAATTAATACAGGAGATAGAATTCCATATGTTATTATTAAATCAACAAAAGATGCAAAAGCTTATGAAAAAGCAGAAGACCCATTGTATGTATTAGAAAATAATATCCCAATTGATTTTGATTACTATATTGAGAATCAATTGAAAAAACCATTAACACGTATTTTCAAACCTATTTTAGGAGAAAAGGTTAGTGAAATTTTTGAAGGAAAACACACAAGGTTTGTTGTAAATATCACTCCAACAGCAAATACTGGAATTATGAAATTTGCAAAGGTTACAAAACGATGTGCTGAGTGTCATGCTGTATTAAAACAAAATGAAGGTACTATTTGTAGAAATTGTCATGAAAAAACTGGAGAAATTTATGCTAGAAAGTTGGTTGACGTACAAAAATCAGAAAACGCATACCATCGTATTATGACTCAATGTCAAGAATGTATGCAATCCCATCATAGAGAAATTATCTGTGCTAACAAAGACTGCCCAATATTCTATATGAGAGTTAAAGTACAACATAGTATTAATCAACAAAGAGAAATGATTGAGAATTTTGAATGGTAAATTTTAATTAATTTAATAAAAATCAATTTAATTCTGGGTTGAATTATTTTGTAAACGTTCTCTAGAACGAAGAGTAGAAGAAGAGAATTTTGAGCCATCTGTGGTAAGAATAAGATTAATAGTAATTGAATGTAAAGGTTGAAATCCATTCATAATTCGTTTGTTATTAATGAATGAAATAGTTTTTTGTGTTTCTTCACTAACAATTAAACAATCGAGAGTAGGGTCAGTAGTTGATGTTCCTTCGGGTTGATTAATTTCGGAGATTGTGTAAGGTGGAATTGGATAATATTTGTTGATGGTATGAAGTAAGTCAATGATTTGTGTTTGACGAGTGGTGAAAGAATGAATCAACTCATAGTTTTGTTTTGAATGAAGTAATGCATCACCAGTGATTGCAATGGCAAGATGTGATGAAGAAGTGAATAAAGCCGTTTGAATGAGGGAATAATGACCACAATGAAGGCGGTCAAATGTTCCACCCACACCCACATTATTATAACGAGGGAATAAGTTAACACGTGGAATAAGTAAAACAAATAACACTGAGTATGATTCGTTGATTTCAATGAGTGTTTTGTATATTAATTGAAGCCATTGACTATATTCTTGTTGCTACTTTATTTAATTGAATCATCAACAAATATACATTCACACAAACAGGAATAAAGACAGACGAAGTGTTCAAATAAAAGAGAAGAGGATTAGTGACAGGATGAGAAGAAATGAATAATCGAATCTCTTCTTGTGTTGTTTCTTTTATATTTATTTCCATTCTTTTTCTTTTTTTTTTCTTTTTCTTTTTTTTTATGAAAAATAAAAAATCTTAATAAATAGATTGGATAATATTAGGAGAAATGAGAGATAGAAGATGATATGAAGAATAATTTAATTTGTATGCACCTCTATCTCCAAAATAAAATAATAGGAGATAAATTTGATGAAATAAAAGAAATCCTAAAGAAAATTAATAGACTAGAAGATATAATCAATGAAATTGTACAGAATCAAGTGCATCATGAAATTAAAAGAATATGATGAAGAAGGAATAAAAGTTAAAGCACTAGAAAGAATAAAGTACCTAAAATATATGATGACAATGATAAAAGAAAGAATTAAATTTAATAAAGATGAAAGGGTCAGAATCAATACAAATAAAATAATGTTTGATTCTAACAAGAAAATTAAAATATGGAAGAAACAAACAATGAAATATACCCAAATAACGATATTACTTTAGAATATTGGAAATAGTTATATGAAACACAGGTGATATTAAATAAAGAAAATTGGAAAATAAAACAAATCACCTCGTGGAATGAAAGATATTTCAATTATGATAATGTCATTATAACAATAAATGAATTAAATTTCAGTTTAAAGAGAATAAGTAACTGGAAAGCACAATGAATAGACACTATATAAAATTAATGAAATACAAAGATAAAATCTAAATAATAAATAAAAAGAATAAAACTATTCTAATAAATGTATGAATAATGTTGAATATTATAATATTAATAGAGACTAGTTTGAATAAAAGAAATAAATATAAATAAAGAATAGAATAAAGAAAATAGAGAAATAAGATAAATAAAATAAATCAAGTAGTAATTTCAATAAATGGATAAGTAAATAATTAATTAAAAATTGAATTCGATGTTATAAAAGGAATTAAAAACCATGCCATTACAAACATAATGGATGTCAGGAGATATTGACTCTACCAAAACTAAACATATACAGTAGAAATACTATAGAAAAATATATTTGAAAACTCTGCTTGTTCAGCAACAATAGAAGCTAGTTTTATTAATACTTAATTAATTGCTTTTTAACTGATATTAATTAAAAACTAACCTTTAAAAAGAGTAATAATAAAATAAATACTAAGAATATGAGACTTTTAACTTATATGAGTGAAATATTATAATAACAATGAAATATAACTCCATAACACAGAAAAAATAGAAAGCAGTTAAATGTATTGATTAAAAATTGAACCAATACACTACTTCACAACAAATGTTTATAAACTTCACAACATAAAAAGTTTTAACCATTACTTATCATCACCACTTATTTAAACAACTTTAGAACAAATTGTCACACAGACATTCGAAAAAAAACAGAAAAAGATGCTGTTTGTCTCTTAATGAGAAACACAAAACAATGCATCAACTAAAGAACAAGAAAAAACAAAATAAATGTGGTAGGTGTGTTTAAAAGAAATTAAAAAACAGTCAAAAAATATAAAAATGTTATTTAAAAAATGAAAATATAAAAATTAAGAAAAACTAAATATAGATTGAATAAAAAGTTCGGTGATTAAAATGGAAGGAAAAGAAAGTGATTTATTATAGAACTGAGAAATATTAATTACTTATGTCATTGCCAGGAGACCTTAACGTCTTAACTCATAACCCAGATTTACCTATTTCTACAAAAGCAGACTTTGAAGAGTTTAAAGGATTCTTTGACCAAACTGAAGGATGGATTGAGTCATATAAAGATGAACATACCCAAGTTCATTTCAAAAACCCAGAAAATACAGCAGAAATTCAAGTCAAATTAGTTTCTGATGCTATGAAAGATATTCCTGCTCAAGTTATTTATGAATGTATTCATGATCCAGATTACAGAAAAACATGGGATGATCGTATGATTGAAGGATTTTTAATTGAACAAATTGATGAGTGTAATGACATTGGATATTATTCTGTTGCTATGCCATTTATTATTTCTAATAGAGACTGGGTTAATAGAAGAAGTTGGTGGCATAACCCAGAAATGACAGAATTCATCATTTTCAATTTTTCTCATAAACATCCATTAGTCCCAGAAAAATCAGGATTTGTTAGAGCTTGGTCTTATAAGTCAGGCTATTATATGAAAACTACTGAAAAAGGAACTATGTTCTATTACTTTGGATGGAACTCATGGAATGGATGGATTCCAGCATGGTGTGTTAATAAAGCAACTAAAACTATGGTTGGAGGTGTTATTGATAGTTTAATGAAACAATCTGCTGCATACGAAGAATGGAAGAGTAAGAATAAGCCAGAAGATAGACCATGGTTAAGATTGAATGACTGGCAAAGAAAAGAGAAAGAAGAGTATGATGCTAAGCATGCTGGAGATAAGAAAGAAGAAGAAACAAAAGAAGAAGAGAAAAAATAAAATAGAATTTAAAGAGAATTTAAATTATTATTTTATCATGACTTTATTTTTTAATAAAAAAATAAATTTAGAATTTTTTGATTTTTAAAAATTAACGAAAGTATACTTAATTCTCAGGATGGTTAATTTAATAACGAAAATAAAAAACTTACAATTAATATTAAAATATTATTCACTAAACTTCCAATCCCAACAAAAATAAATCTCAAATTAAGTAAGTTACAACTTTTTAACAAAAATAAGTAACAATAAAAAACCATCATTTAATAATAATATTTTCTTTCAACACCATTCTTAGGAAAGAAATAATCATACTTCCTAACAAATAAAAAACATAATGAAAAATATAAATGAATAAAATTCCAACATATTGAGAAATGATTGATTAAGTTGATTCAATTTATTTGATATTAATGTTTTTTATTTTTATTTTTATTTTTATTTTCTTTTTAGTTGGTTATTTCATTATTAAGATTATCATTTTTATTTCTTGTATATGTTGATTGTTCATTCAATTAAATGGTGTTATTGTGTTTATTTGATTTAGTATTAACATTAACATTTATCTCATTTCTTTTGTTATTATTCAATGTTCTTTCGATTTTCTTATGAATAAATACCATTTGGATATTATTTTATCATTATTCTTATTGTTAATTGCTTTTCTGTTATTCTTTGTTTTGTTGATTATTGAAGTATCTATCAATTATTAATTACTATAACAAATTATTCTTTGATGTTTGAATGTGTTGATTTAATGGGATGTTTGTGTGTTTGAAATGTCACATTCAAATTGGTTTGAATGTTCCAGAATAACATCGTAAACTAAAAAGATGTTATTGTTAGTTAAAAGAAGAATGAAAAGAAGAAAGAGAATAGAAAGAATGAGTGAAATTATCAAGAAATGATTTAATTTGAACAGAAGATGCATGAGGATTTGAATTGAACCACGAGTTTATGATTTGAATTTCATTAGATTTACCTTGTTTTTTAAGGATATGAAGAAGACGATTTTTTTCAGAGTGAAGACTTTTGATTTTCTTCAATTCAACATCTTGAATATCTAACAAATTGGATCGTTGAATAAGTGTTGGAAGATTTGCTTGCTTG